GTGTGTGTGTGTGTGTGTGTGTGTGTGTGTGTTTGTTGGAACTTGGGACAGTGTGTGTTTAAGGCAAACTCTGTGTGGACACGGGGAGTGTGAGAAGCTGAGTGTTTTGACAGCTTTAGAACAGTTCCAGTACAGTGCTGCAGCAGGGGGTGAGTGGGCCTGTTGGATATTCGGGTGAGCAGTAGGGGTGAGAATAGGGTCAGTGGAGGAGCGGACAGGAGGGGATGAGATGAGGGCAAGAATTTCCTTCCATAATGCTCCACGGCCATTAAAATGATACTTGATATCCATTTCTTTTTTATTAAGTAAACTTATGATAGCATCTGAAATGGATCCATCTGAGCACAAATTCCCTTGCGCCACAGTTTAAACAAAAGGAGAATGTTACTGAAGCACCGACATTTTGCAAATGCGTCATTACTGATTGTAAAATGAGGCCATTTCTAAATGTGTGATAAAAAAGCAAAGACATTTTCAAATGTGAAATTAAAACTGCAAAAGCTAGCCGAACGGTAGTGTAAATAAGTGTTAGTTAACATTTTGAAGGCAAAGATTAAGTCGTGAGAACCAGATTGTGATCATAGTCCGTATACAAAGATGGACCAACCCTCTGGGATGTCGCCCACAAGTTTCCTGCAGGGTGGTTTTGAAGGTCAGCGTGGTGGCTCAAGACATTGCCATCAGAGCAGTGCCAGACTTCACTCAACTCTTTCGCAAATCTAAACATGAGCAAAGAGGTGGAGCATGAGTGGAGCTGAGGTCGGCCATTGGACATTCATGTGATGGCGCCACCTTTAATTTAAAGCAAAAACTTAATAGATTCTTCATAATTATAAGCCCTCATGCAATTTAAATATGTAAATTATATTAAAATTTTTACTCTGTACAGTTGTCATGAATGGGCAGTTAACTTCAGAGACCAAAACCATTTTTTTAATACAGGGCTGTAAACATGTTTATTTCTGCTGTAAAGTTGGATATTTTACCATGTGAGTCCATAGAGATTGACTGGCTTTTGGAGTGAGTCCCAGGTGGCTATTTGAGGAACTGCAGTTTTTGGCATTAAGGTGTTTGCACAGTTTTCCTGCTCTGTCAGATCCTACTTGGTTGCTATAACGCATGTGCATTTGTGCAGGCTATTGAGCTAAAAAAAAAAAACAAAAAAAAAAACACTTGATATTCCTAGCAAATGTTTGAAGAGAAACCTTCAAACATATTATGAATGTACCTGCAGTTAAATAAAAGAAATATTGCACTTGAACATTACAGAACTTAAGCAAAAGGATTTTGTCAAAATGAATCATTCTAAAAGGGCCAATCCTTTGATGAACCCAAGGAACACTGGATGGCACTGAATATACTGCACACAAAAGTGAGTATTTGTCCCAGCACCAAGACACTCCTTGTTGAAGTAGTTATGCCAAAGAATGATCTCAGCTCATTCTCCCAACTTTAATCTCACCAAAGTGTAAAAGCTATGGGAGTAGACTTCCCACACAGTTAATAAAAGAGCGATAAAGCTCGTAAACAAAGCACAGTCCTTTTCGTACTACTGTAGCTGAAAAGGCCAGACATCACCTCAGACGGTGCTACTTGAGAGTTCTCTCACAAGTACACCTCTCCAACAAAGGGGCTGCCTCTCACCATTTCTAAGCCCTCCCAGTGCCAGTGGTGTTGAACCCCTGCTTTCTCCAACTGCATTCCAGCCCATCTTTCATGCTGTTTCATTTGGGCCATGCCAGCCGGGTCAGGGGGCAGTATTTTCTCAGGGTTTCAGGACAACAGTGGACAAGTAGATATAAAACAGACACCCCCACAAGCTGTGCATTGGAGTCCTGTTTGGTTCATTTTGGTGTTTGTGCTATTTTTATGTTGGGCAAGAAACTACATAAAAGCAGGGATGCTGTGATAGTAGCACAGAGGTCAAGTGATAGATTTATGGTTTGCTATGGCATAATAATGCTTCATTAACTCCCTATAAGCACACAGGTTGACATCAACAGCTAATCCACACTAGGACCCGTCACAAAGACGTAACCTATTGTTGCAGTGACCTTCAGCGACAGCACTGAATTAATGTAGCAGTGAGACTTGATTCCTCCTTTGTTTCAGAGAGATCAGTACCAAATTCTACCAGTAGATGTCTGTCTTCAGTCTTGCACAGTCATGAGAGAAAGTTAGTAGACAGACTGTCTAGGATCCCCACATGGCCAAACACTGCAGAATGTCCCATGTGAATTGTTAGATAAAATGTAGTCTAATAGAAATCCCACATTCACCTCTTATCTGGAGCTGCAGGCGAGGCTGCAATGAGTGACAGATGGACTCAAAAGAACGTCCCTGTCTTAAAAACATGTATGGCTAGAGCCATTAGAGTTTAAATTAAACATAGTTCTGCTGGCAGAAGAGTGGGGTATTTTTTTTTTTTTTTGCCTCTTGGCGACATGGCAGCATTTTTCTTCTTTGGTACAGCTTAACATTCCAGAAATGAATTCCCAGACATTGCGATCTTGGAAAAATATGAGGGCAAAAGGCTGGGTATTTTCCACGATCCAGTCCACGATGTACTGTTTCTGTGCTCCTCTATTGGCTTTAGAAGCAAAACAGTTGCTATGTGGTAGTTGCTATGCCTGAACACCCAGAATAACCATAGAAGAAAAATTCTCTCCATTGCCCATGAGTAATAACAACACTATTGCATAATTTAACTGGATTTTTAGTTTTGATAGACGATGATTTACTTGTATAAGCAAGGATTAAAAGGAAAACAGGGCTCAATCGGCAGATATTTATACACTAGCACATTGTGTATTAGATTTTGATTTGATTCACTTTTGTATTTTTTTGTAAATATGCACTATCCTTTGTCTCTGACAGATAATATTCTAGCGAGAGCGTCTAAAGCCAGCACAAAGCTGGATGTAAGTGTCTACCAATTAAAGGCAGCATGCTTTGTGGGATGGTTTGAGTTAACAGGATGGAAAGCGCACAGTTTCAGGGCGGGGATACTATCAGTTTTGCAGGATATGATTGGCTCCTGTGTTGTAATCTCTGAGGAGACATTAAAATGCTCCTCTTCAGCTCCAAAATCCGACACCCAAAGGCTTAAATTTAGCTCATTTGCTTTGTTTAGCTGCTTATGTAAGATTTTATTGTTGTCAAAGAAAGCCATTTGATTACTGCGCTTAAAGAAAAGAGGAATATAAAACAGCAAAAGTACAAATCTAATAGGAAATGCTGATGGGAGTGTTTGAATTAGATGTTTTACTTCATGCACAGCCAAAATACTCAATAAAATCACTTTTATTCATCATTCATTTATTCAGTGTTCTCAAGCTTTCTCCCAAATGTGTCACGGCCATGCATCCGTGGTAGCAATTAGAGAGAATATGGCCCAAGAGAGTCCCACTAGTCGAAGTGTCACTTTTCGTACAGACCCTGAACGCAGCACAAGAGGAGTTGGGCGACTTGTGTCGTGACGCGCAGTCGTGGAGGCGTGCCTCTGATGAAATCAGCTGGGGAAACAACAACAGAAAAGGGGGTGGCGAGACTAGAAAAATCTTCCGGCCAGTTATGTTTAGATTTCATTTGAAAAAGTGTCCGTTCAAGAACAAAACCGAGTCACATCGAGTCTGCAGCGGCGAGTCAGTACTTGTTGAGTTGTGCGAGACGCTGGATTAAGGAGGCGGCGAGGGGAAGTCAGAGGAGGAGGATGTGACAGGGCAGAGGTCCTGTCCGCAGTTGGATCTGCTCTTTGACAAACAACGGGAAAACACCGCGATCACCTCTCCGTCCTCCGTGCATCTCTGTCCGGTTTGAGTGACCGGCTGAACCACCAGCTGAGTGGCATGTGGGTCAATTCCGGAACCGTCGGAAGGTAGGGACCCCTCCTGCAGGCATACTGGGTCACATGCTCGTCTATTGTGCACAAAGCAATCCACACACCGCCTGTCATATTATTTACTCTAGAGATTCTGAAATCACCAGCGGTTGTATTTTGTCCATATCTGTTGATTTTATTGTTTAAACCTCCTCTTAGATCTCGTTCATGTCTCTGTGATACTCCCAGCGCTTCCTTTCATTTTAAACGTATTAGATGACTGTTGTCATGCAAGTGATGCCACAATGACCGATTATTGTTATATCTGAAATCCCACACGTGCTGCACGGACTGTTTTACAAGAGCATTTGGATTCAGTGTTGGAGTGCAGCGGATGGGCTTGGCACATTACGCAAGACTTATCAGCGCATCATTTGGGATGTAGGCTGGCATGCACCTGCCTTTTATATCATGGATGTATGAAAGGTGTCTTAGCACCGCGATCGGTGTCCCGTGTGTCGTCCCTTTTTTTATCCTCCCAGACCGATTGACAAAACAATAGATTGCCCGGTTTGTTGAATCAGTTTCCAAAAAAAAAAAATTAAAAAAAATATGAATGAGCCAGGTGGTTATGAATGGCTGCGGGGAGAGGGAGCGCACGAGGTTCTTTTCATTGATGAGTGTAGTGATCTGACAACACAGTATTTACTGGAGGAGCGTGCACGTTGTAACTGTGACAGAAGATAAGGGGCAAAATCTTTTAGGAGTGCAGGCACACACACACGGACACACACACACACACCCATACAGACAAAGATACACACACACACACACACACACACACACACACTGTAATGCTGATCCTGTCGATGTGACGTCATCAGAGGGATTGTGTTACGCAGGTAGCTGCGTGGCTGATGAAGAAGCCTCTCACTTCTACCTGGAAATAAATAAATTATGCTCCACATGAGGAGTTTTTTTTTTCTTTCTCTCTCTGGCTCTCTCTCTCTATCTGACCAACTTATCAAGCCCAGTCATCAGCAATTAATCATATCTGCAGGATGCAGTTGCATAAACAATTTGGCACACACATATCATATTGTGCAATCCTTGTCTTTCGGCCAGTATACTTATTTTTTCCCTGAAAAGATGTCTATTAATGGCCACTATGTGATGGTGGCTGATCCGTCTGTGGAAACGCCAGCCGCATTACATTTTCTGTTCTATGCAACTGTTTTTTGAATACATCCTCGTCAAAATAATTCAAGATCCTGTCATTGTTGGCGCCACTGTAAGAGTAACATGCATTTTAGTTTGGTGTGTTTTGGCCAGTAAGACGTATTACAGCCACAATAGCTAACGAATCAAAGATCAGGGCTGTCATTATGTATACTGTCAGATGGATTTGGAACAGAGCTACTTATTGTCCTGATTAGGCAGTATGCCCAAAGCTTTGACTGTGTCAACAGCTTTGAGATAACATTGTGCAGCACTGACAAACCCAGATGGAAGAATGAGCCAGCATTATATGGCTGGCTTGAATGTTCTGACCCCTGTAACAGGCTGTAGTGAAAGATATACAAAGGTAATAGAGCTTGCAATTGTTTGTATTTTTAATGCCTTATGTGTTCTCACTGGCCTGAACAAAGTAGATTATAACATGGAAGGTAGAGCTTTGGTCAGAAAAGTATGTATTTTTAAATGTGTTGCTGCTGCTGCTGCTGGTTTGTATGCAAAATAGTCATGTTGAACAATTGTTTCACTTAAGATTGAAACAATGCAATTAGCAAATCACAAAAGGCTGCAATTTAGAACATATGTTATGCAGTGCATCTGATCCACTCCAACTGTTGTGTCAATGGTTTAACAAATTCAGTCACACTTTACCTGGTATTTTATGTGATAATGCTCCATCGCATGTTTTAAATATCTTACACAGTCAATATTGAACTGGTAGCAGTTAGATATTTCCCCCCAAATGCTTCAGACCTACTATATATTGTATAATAGTTTGATTGTTAGGGTCCAGGCTATTTTTGAGTTTTAAATTACAAGATTTCAATTCTAACCAAAATATACTTTGCATTATGTTTAACTGTTACATTCCCAGATGAGACATGCAGTCGGGAATATATTTTTTCAGACAAACTTAGTCCAACTCCTCATCCCTACAGTTGCTCTAATATCTGGGTCACTAAGTCCTTTGCTTTAATGTCACAATACTTACTTTGACACAATTTAGGAGAAAAAGCAAATAATGCTACATTTCAAAATGAGCGAATGATGATATAAAAAACCCAGAAACCTGTCAAATGAGGTAATGCATTATGTTACACATTTTATTTAACGTAAAACATTGGCATTGTATGATACTGTGAAACATTAAGCATCAAACAAGATTTTGCAGTCATGCAATCTGTGGCAAACATGAAGCTGTATTAACAAAAGAGGTGTTTTTATACGCTTTGTATGTAAACACAGCATTTTGTATGTGAAGGTAGGAATTTATAAAGACTGTTTTCCTCTTTAAAAGAAGACTTGCACTCTCAAAACAGAATCAAAGCAGTCACAGAATACTCTAATGATCATTGGGAAATGGCAGAGGAATTGCCAGCTCATCTGTTTGTTTTATCAGAAGAGACTTGAAAGGAAAATAATGAGAATGGGTGAGAAATAAGAGAGAGAAAGAGAGAAGGAAGAAAAGTGAATGACAGACATACTGGGAGACACTGTAGATAAAAATAACCTGCATTGGAGTGGATACTGAAAAGTATAAGGGTGTGAAGTAGAGATGAGATGGAGAGAAACAAGTTAAGACAGCAAGAGAGATGAAGTGAAAGAGTAGGTGGAAAATATGGATGGGGAGGAAGAGGAGGAGGGGGAGGAGGAGGAGGAGGAGGAGAAGGAGGAGGGAGACGGGGAGGGATGAAGGAAATGAGGGCATCAAGAGGAGTCTGTCTGTGTTTACAAAGCATTACTGCTACAGAGAGAGGAGAGCAGGGAAGCTCTCTCAAGCAGGCTGACATGCGGCTCTCACCCTCTCATTCATTAGGGTAGACGTGCTCATAACATCGTCTGCCACGGGCCGCGCATTAATACCAGTGCCATCTGCATTGGGTGAGGCAAGTACGTGCAGGCGTGCATGTGTGTGTATGCACGTCTGCGCCGTTGTGCATGAGTCTGAGGTCTACTGTCAGCCATCCAGGGAGCCGAGCAGAGGCTACAGACCAGGTTATGTAACCAGTCTGTGCCAGCTGTGCCTGTGGCAGTCAGTGTATCAAACATCCACATAACAGACACACACTTGTCTCCCTTAAACACTGTCACACACACATGAAAATCATGCACAGCTACAAATGAATCCATGTTTTCTTTCATGCATGTAGACTTTTGACTAAACAAAATTAGGACGCATTCAGGATTGCACAAGCACCCTGCCAACAAGTACACACAGACACTTTCACTATGCTGTGTTGTAGCTCTGTATGAGTGCTCAAGTGTTGTGTTAGTCCACGTATAAAGCGTGTAGTTATTGGGGTCATGTTGTTGCATGGCTGGAAGAAGTGAAGAAAGGTTCATCACGGCATCAGGTTGAACTCTTGCCCCGAGGAAGCGGAAGGCGGATTGGGGCTATGGATGGTTTTGGGATGAGCAGTTGCTGCCAGTGGATTGCTAAAGGTGTTACATAACAGGGAGAAGGAGACGAGGAGGGGGGAGGAGGAGGAGGAGCGAAATGGGTGTGGGAGGGCTGTTGGCTTAACACTGCTTCTTGATTGCCGTCCAGAAAAGTGTAAGGTCATAGCTAGATAGATGGCTGCTAATAAAAGGGACGGAAGGGAGCTTGACGCTGAATGTGAGAGTGGGGAGGGGAGGGTTTTAGTGATGAGAGGTTACTAAGAGACAATGAGTGACGATAAGTATGGAAAAACTGGGAGTACTATATTTATAGAATGAGTCCAGAATGGGGAAAGCGGTGAGGTCAGAAGGTGTAGGGGAAAAAAACAGACAGACCGAGACAGACAGAAAGGTAAATTATAGCAATTAGAAACGAACCAATGGGTGTGTGTAAGTTGAGTTAAAGATGACGGGAAATGTGCAATCTCCTTGTGAAAGCCGACCTGGCCTTAAAGCGAAGCCGTACTGAGGCGCTCACTCTTCACGTAATGCATGAGTTTGTTTGTCTGTCTGGCTCTCCTGTACCAAACACTCATATACACAAAACACCCACACCGAGTAAATCCATGACATTGCAGAGTAAACCAGAAGGGTCGTGTTTGTGTATTGAGTGGGTGTGTGAGTTCCTGTCACAGTGTTTCTATCGCTGTGATGTTGCCTACACCCCATCAATATGCCATTCTAAGAAATATATGCACACATGCAGCAAAACTGTTATCCCATTGTCTCCTTCGCGCATATTTTACCGTTGCATTCTGACAGCTCTTTGCCCTTGCAGACACCTGTGCTGCCTTGTTGGGAAGATGACACTGGCCGGCAGATGAAGTCTAGACGTCTGTGCACGGTTCACTATAGGTCGTTGGCTAAAAATGAAACCTGAGCTTTACAGCCTCTCTTTCCGCTGCTCTGAGCCGCACCGCTCTGCTCTCACGGTCTCCAGCGACCGCTCATCCTCCCGTCACGCAATTGGAAATAATTGCTGAAGTCAATGAAAGCTCGTGTAGTTTAAATATAAACCCGCGAGCAGGTGCGTATCCGTCAAGTGCAGCGGTGTCGGAGCAGACAATTGTGCCATGTGTGTTGACTGGTGCGTGACTTGACTCGCTTGGAGCCTGGTGAGGAGCCTCAGATGGAGAATGGTATCCGGGAGCTGGGCACTCTTGATCCCCCTGAGAAACTGTTCTCACCACCACCACCACCACCACCAACGCCGCCTTCTGGTTACATCACTGCTTGCATGGTTCTGTGCCTCATAGACTGGCCCTAAGCTCATTACCACACACACGCACCCTTACATGCATACTGACTTTCAGACTCCCATGGGTCAATAGTAAAGGATTTTAAGCCGTTTTCTACTCTCTCCCTTGTCTTTTTCTTTATCGTTCTGTCTTCGAGAATCGCACATTAGACAGTGGAGAGCGACATCAGCAGGAAAAGCAGTGATTTGTTCCCCTGGGCAGCCTTGGTTATTGCTGGTCTTGCCCTTTTGATCCCCATGGCATAACTGACTGACTCTAATGCTGGGTTGACAGTCCCGCTCTTTCTCTCTAAGACTAGTAATCCCCTCCCTTCCTTGTCTCTATTGCAATTCCTTTTACTTATCTACTGTGGCATTGGAAACGCTGGGAATTAACAGTAATACGCACCCGCTCCTCCTCTCCCTCTGTCTGTCAGTGCCTGCTCTCTGCTCATGTGTCCTTTGGTACATATTGTGGACATTACAGACCCACTTGTAGTATGTCACGATTCACACTTGGCCCTTCAGCCCTCTTTTCTTAATACAGCACTAAGTGGACTGCTGCTTTGGCAGCTGCCATGACTATTAGGCAGAAAGTTGTTAGATAACTGCAAGGTTGTGCCACTTTTTTATTGCTTCTTCTATCTCCCTCCTCTACCTGTGGTACGTGTCTCTAAAGGTGTCATAGTCAGACAGGTGGCAAGGGAAAAAGGGTATTTATAACTCTGAAAGTCATAGTTCTCTCCCTCTCTCTCTCTCTCTCTCTCTTCCATATGACCCATTCAGAGAACAGCTTCTTTAACAGACACTTTTCCTCAGCTCAGACAGACAAAGGTATGCTCTCTGTGCTGCACTTCCTGCCTGATGTGATTGGGACCCCTTCTGACAGGAAATCAGGAAACATGAAGAGGTTTTTTTTGTTGCTGTTGACAAAGAAGATCAGTGTCTTAAGTCTTGGAAAAAGAAAAGTTGCAGTGATATTATAGACAGAGTGAAGGTGTACGAATGCATGGAGAGCAGGTCACGGCTGAATAGCAGGGTGCACACATGGCTCATGTGTCTGATGAATAGATGCCATTTTTAGCCGCCGCTCTCTGTCACTGCTGGACTGAAGTGTTGCACTGGCATCCACGCCAATGGAATAACAAGCGAAGGCCTTTATGAATGTTTCAGATGCTCTATTTATGGGGCCTCGGGGTGGGTCTTTGAACGGGTTGCAATGACGAGCGGACTGATTGGCCGACTCCAGGTCTAACCGTGTGTAGCGGGATGCTGGTGCTGGAGGTGGTTTTTGCAGTGGAGCAGATTCTTCCAGGAATGTTTTTAAATGGGTATTAACATGTGTTTTGACATGTCAGAAATGTTTGTAAGCAGTTTACGGAAAGGGGATTTCAGTAAGCTTTTTACAGTAATGTTTGGTTTTAAAAAGAGGAAGTCAGTTGAGCTGTACATAACCAACTCCGTCTTGTGCTAAGTCGGGATCTGACAGGTGGTTAAACATGCGACCACATTATTTTAGTTTCTTCCCCTCTGTGCAAATTTATAGTAAACATATTTAACAGTGTGGTGATGCATGAATGACTTAAAATACTGTGTGACTTCATGAGGGATTTGGTGTTTTTTTTTAAAGTGCCTGGGTAGATGTTTGATCCTGTTATACTGGGTTTCTCTGGAGTGAAGTTGGTCCCAGTGCATCAAAAGGGTAGCAGACGGGGTAAGACGGACAAGGGCAGACAGGGACAGTGAACTCAAGCGAAGACTTTCTCTTTTTGTCTCTCCATCTTTCTGTCTCTCTCACTCTGTGCTGTTACAGAAATAGCTCTGCGGTCCCTCTATTCCTCAGCCTGTGAACCATGTGTTCTGTTGAGGGGTTTGGCAGAAGCCTCTGTACACTGGGCAGTACAGCTATGGGGGCTTAGAGCCTTAACAAAGCTTCCCTCGGCTGGACTTGGGGTTGGGGGGGTAGTGAGTTAGAAGCTACTGTGCCAGTTGCTTTCATTGTCAAAATGCAGTGTCATTCCTCCTGGGATGCTTTATCAAATGTGATGTTAATTTTCCATGAATACTGAATTAACCTCTTTTCTTTCTTTCTCCCCCCCCCCGACCCCTTATATTCTCCAGGGCCCTCTCCATGGATATAGACACAGACTATGAGCGGCCCAATGTGGAAACCATTAAATGTGTGGTGGTAGGGGATAATGCAGTAGGCAAGACCAGGCTAATCTGTGCCCGGGCCTGCAATGCCACCCTCACACAGTATCAGCTGCTTGCCACCCACGTGCCAACCGTCTGGGCCATCGACCAGTACCGTGTATGCCAGGAGGTGGGCACACACACACACACACACAAACGCACACACACACTGTGAAAAGAGCCACATATAGATAAACTCAGGTACACTTCTAGGCATGATTCTGAGATGAATTCTTTTCATTATCGATCAAAGCATCGGTAAAAACGTTTCATTTCAGGACTGCAAAAGCGTTTTAATGATATATTGATATTAAAAATGTTGACTGTGCCTGTTTGTTTTTGTTTCCCCCACTTTAGGCGAGTGATTGAATAATTCTTCAATTCCACTAAACCCCATAATGAAGTCGAGACCTTTTGACCTAAATGTGGGAATATGTCTGTGTTGCAGGTGTTAGAGAGATCTCGAGATGTAGTGGATGAGGTCAGCGTGTCCCTGAGGCTGTGGGACACATTCGGGGATCATCACAAAGACAGACGATTCGCCTATGGCAGGTGAGCAGAGGCATACACGCAGACACACACACACAAACACACAGCTTCAAGCAGTCTAGCAGCCAGAACTTAGCTACTGACCCAGTAACACAATTGCTGGCCGACCACAAGGTTAACTACCTTCCAACACATTCCATTTCCACAATTGGTGCAGCCAAGAGATTGTTTCGTCTTGGCTGTATGATTTTGTAAGGCGCTGACACAATTTTCCCTGTGCTAATATATCACCACATTCGTTGCGGTTTGGTTCAGGAGAACGTAACTTAGAGGGAGAACGTATCTACTCCGTCATGGCCACGGAAACATGCCCACGTAACGTTTACTTCCCAAACTTGTTGTTTGTGTAATCCAGCTGCCATGGTTTTATCTGATCTCTGCCCTCAAGCTGTTACACCCATCCTCCACCAGACATGATTGGATCATCGCTCTATCTTCTTACTCCCCATCCCTCTATCAAAGCTGCTTTATTGGCATGAAATGCAAAAGTACTCATTGCCAAAGCAAAATCAACAAATACCAATTCAGCTGACAGTGACCAAACCGGACCACATGGCATCAAAATAAACAATGAACACAGAAAAGGGTGGATACATGTCATACATCATTAAAGGGCTACTGTATTTACTTCAGTGTATTAATCCACACATTTATCTAAACACACTCACTTCATTTTCAGATTGTGCTTTGTTTTTCTTGTTTGCGGCACAATGCTGTTGTCACTAGTTTTTAAGCCTACTAATTATGATTACACATTTCCTCTCCATCTGTCTCTCCATTTGAATTGTTTTATTTAATCATTTAATCTATCTCTTACTTAGTCACTAGACATAACCAGGCACTAAGACTTCACAAACATCCCCACACACGTGCATGTACACATCACACTGTACAGTCTGGGAGCTCTCTCAAGGTTGGATGGAAACACTCTGTGTAACATGTCACCCTGTTCCTGTTTTGCAAAGTGCGTCTGCTGAGAATGTGCATTTACAGGTTGCTTGTAGCTCAATTTTTGGCTCAAATTTCCTCCACTCTGCCGTGTTCTCTCACTGTCTCAGTGTCTGTACATTTGCGCAGTGATCTCCTTTTGTTTGTTTGTGTTTTGCTGTGTGTGTGCGTGGCTGTCCGCATGTCCTGTATGCTTTGTCAGCCTGCAGTCAGCTGATAAAGACACAGTGCCAGCTCAGCTGTTTTCCTCCTGCTTGCCTCCCCAGCGTCACCAGCTGCAGGCATCAACCTCCCCTCCTACTCGTCCTCCTTCTCTTCTAGCTTTGTTTGTCCGTTCATTCATCTGGGTCATGCCTTCTCCTTCAACCTACCTCTCCTCTCCTTCACCTCACCTCCCCTTTCATAATCTCTCCACTTCCATCCTCTATGCCCTTGACACTTTCCTGCTCTTTCACCCTCTCCTCACCATCCTCCATAGTGCTGCCTGTTGTTGATATAAAAACTCAAAACATTACATTGTCAGACAATACCCAGACTGTCACATGCTGTGTTACAAGAGGAACGTTCTGGTTGGAAAAACAATCAGAGCCTCAAAATAGGGTAAGCTAAACTTAACCTGAGCCAACCTCTACTTGTATTTTAGTCAGCAGAATTTCATTTTCAAAAGGAGAGGAACATTCTGGTGTGGAAAACAATCACACCCTCGAAATAGGCTAAGCTAAACTTACCCGGAGCCAACCTCTGCTTGTGTTTTAGTCAGCAGAAACTCATTTTAAAAAGGTCTTATTTTGCCTTTTTAACAAAAAAAGCAAAACAATGTCATATTTCACTTGTAAGCATTGCTCTTACATAACTCTGAAAACAGTGTTGTGACAGACTTAATGACTGATGAGGGGTGTGATGCCAGGATGTGTGATTGCAGACAAATACATAGACCTGGATAAGACCCATTTATTTCTTCATGGCAACAGAAAATGTGATTATTCACAACGTATCTGCTGTGTTGTTGTGTCTCTTCTTATTTATTTGGCATTATCTGGCAACCGATGACCTTTGTAGTTTGTATCCACCACACACACACACACACACACACACACAGAAAGCACTAAACAACCAGTCACTGGTGGAGCTAATTATCATACATTAGTAATGGCAGTAAATTATTACTTTAGTACATTTGCCTCATCATGCAAACACTCACATTTTCTTGTTTAAATGTAGATTAAAACAAACCTGTATGACCTGGCTGACACTTTTCTTGTTCACGCTTTAAGGCTAATGCAGAGCTCCGTATTTAGAATGTTTGTTACACAATCTACATTGGGATTTCAGTGTCATAAAGATGACAGTATAACTTCTGCAGAAAGATAATGCAGACTCTCTTTCACAAAGCTGCACCCTCATAAATATATTGTATAAGTCAGATGAGACTGCTTCGAGTCATATGTAATATGATGTCGCTCGTGTGTTGATGTAGAGTGGAATAGTCTAGAAGGTAAACTGTAGCAGCAACGTCAGGGTTGTAAAAATGAAAGTATAACTTAAGCAGTGGAACCACGGGAGCAAAGGCACGTACACATAACATGACCTCAAAGAGACTAAGCCTTGGTAATGATCCTTTGACAAAGTGCTAATGGGAATTCTTGTGTGTGTGTGGGTGTGTAAGCTCTGATGTAATGCTTTGGTATTGTATATTATGTGCTTTGGAGAAGGAGCTTTTCAGAGATTACATTATTGAAAGTAAAGAGGACTATGGAACCCATGTCTGCACTGCAAAAAAATGTCCCAGCTGATGTACTGTAGTTTGTATGTATTTCAACTTGTCACTCTGTTGCATTTGAGAGGACATCAGGTTTGCTGCCACTATGTATTAATGCAAGTTAAGTTGATTGTAAAACCTCTTTGGGGATGTTTCCGATTGTAGGGTTTTCAAACACCTTCAAATTCAAATGTTTACAGTGCAGCTTTTATCTGCTCAGTGAATAGTCCATATTCTCTGTAACAAGTATTTTGCCCAAGGGAAAGAGACATGTTTAAGTGGCGAGCAATGCTGCTCTCAAGAATTGGCTTACCTTCCACCTTTTAATCAATACTGCCTGCAGAAAAAATACCTAAAACTGGAAAATACATTTGAAAGAATTGTCTTCAAGCTGTCAATGATGATTAATGTTGCACACAAATTACATAAGCCTTAGTAGTGTTGTTTTGCCGGGTTCATATGCCCTGTGTGGTTTCATTATTGTAAGAAGTAGATCATTTAGGAATTTTTTTGCCCCGTCAGCATTGCGCTGTTACTGAATGATCCATCTCACTGACAACAAAGCTTGATCAAACATTACCTAGAAACGGAGACACATGTACCAGCATGCCACAGAAATATCAGCACCAGAATACAGCTGTACATGCCGCTGTATGCTTGCTCAAACATATCAGTTGAGAAAATGAATTTGTGTATGTGTGTATTCTGATCTATTCTTAGCCTTCTCTTTGTGGTCCATGTAGCCTTGAAGGGCTTAGGGAGATTTACGTAAGAGAGACAGAGAGAGAGAGAGAGAGAGAGACAGAGAGAGAGAGAGAGAGACGGGCCACACAAATCACCAGCCCAGAGGCCCAGACTCATAAACACATACATGCACACATGCAGACCCACCCACCCATACACTTGTGACCCCACCTCATGGCTTTCTCGCTGCCACTGTCCATGCTCCCACAATGCCTTGCAGCAGCCGAACAAGCTTCTTCCATATACACATCGCGCATGTTTTAACATAAACTGACAAGATGCTCAGTGAGTCAGCTCTGACCCTTTTTATTTCTCTTTTCCGTCCCCATCGCTCCATCAAGGACCCCATGTCTTCTTATGACTGACATCTCCTGCTCATGCTACAACAAATCTGCTCTCCTCTGACTCTTTCTATCTTTCCTGTGATCTGTTATTCTGTGAAATGACAAGTTTTTCCCCTCTCCCTCCTTTCTCGGTAGGTCTGACGTAGTGGTGCTTTGCTTCTCTCTGGCTAATCCCAATTCCCTGCGCCACGTCCGCACCATGTGGTTCCCGGAGATCAAGCACTTCTGTCCCCGAACACCCATCATCCTGGTTGGCTGCCAGCTGGATCTGCGCTATGCTGACCTGGATGCAGTTAACCGTGCACGGCGACCACTAGCCAAGTAAGAGGCCTTCTTCATCAGGCATTAACCGACAATTTTAGACAGGATCTGCACCAATATAGCTTCAGTGAGGACTGCATGTAGGTCTGGCCCAGTTTATCAGTAGCAGCAGTAGCATACTAGTAACTGAATCACCGCAGATGACACACTGATTATTTTCCTGGATCATTAATTTAATATTGTGAAGTAAAGCCAGTGAGGTGTTTTGAGTCAGGCTTTGCTGTTTTGCATGTCATCAGCTCACTGTCTTCTTAATAGTCATGTCAGCTGTTGCATAATATGAAAAAGTGCAGCTACCGGTAGCTAAACATAATAATGAGATGAACAATGTTGTCTTACTCTGCATGAATTCCAAGTATTGCTGACATGCTCCTATTGTTGTGCTTGCACTACGTTCCTTATTTTCACATCATTATCTCTTTCTGAACCACAGACCCATCAAACCTACAGATATTCTTCCTCCAGAGAGAGGCCACGAGGTGGCAAAAGAACTTGGCATTCCCTACTACGAGACTAGCATTGTTGCCCAGTTTGGAGTCAAAGATGTTTTTGACAACGCCATCCGTGCTGCCCTAATCTCACGTCGACACCTGCAGTTCTGGAAATCTCACCTGAAGAAAGTCCAGAGGCCCCTTCTCCAGGCGCCTTTCCTGCCTCCTCGCCCACCACGCCCCATAGTGGGCATCCCAGACCCCCCTCTCACAGATGGAGAGGGCCCTGACTCCCTTTTCTGTCAACCTCTGTGCGCAGATGTCCTTTTCCTTCTGCAGGGCGGCACTACTCGTGTCTTTGCGCACAAAGTCTATCTGGCTACGTCCTGCTCTAAGTTCTACGACCTCTTCACCCTTGATCTCGGTGGATCGTGTGTGGGGCCACGGGGGGAGGAACTAGAGAGCAAGGAAAACTTGGAGAGTGGGGAGGAAGATGAGCAGAGCAGGAGAGGAGCCAAGGAGCAAGCCGGGCGCACCAAGAGCCTGGACATTGACAAAGACGGGGTTGACGGAGGAGTGCGAGGCTTGAACCGACCCCAGCTGCTCCAGCAGGGCTCTTTGAGGACTTCCCAGAGTGATAATGCACTCCCCTCTCGAGCCCAGTACTCCCTGGGAGCGCTAGGGACTGGTCGAGCACTTTCTGGATGGGGAAGGGGGTTCCTGAGTGTGTGTCTGGAGCACGTTGATGACCCCATGACTGGACGACCACGACTCATGACTGTGGTAGCCATGGATGCGCTTATACAGGAGGAACCATTCAAGGTGAAAACAAAAATACTATCAAAGTATATTTTTACATCATAATTTTGTTGATGTTAATATTATAAATGTTGTGCACCATTACTGCGGGGTACAGCCTTAGCGATGATCGAAAAAGTTTTCCAAATGTCCTCCAAAACTGTATATTTGACTTCTCAATTTGCTCTGGTTTTAGGCGGTGCTTCAGTACCTATACACAGGCAGTCTGGATGAGGGCCGAGGCGATCTGATGCAGGTGGCCACCATCGCGGAGCTACTGGAGGTGTTTGACCTGCGCATGATGGTGGCCAATGTTCTGAACAGAGAAAGCTTCATGAACCAGGAGATCACCAAGGCTTTTCATGTCCGCAGAGCCAACCGCATCAAGGAGTGTCTCAACAAAGGGACATTTGCTGGTAAACCACTGTGCCAACCATTCAGTGCTTCAGTACTTTCAGTAACATCTGTGTCATTGCAGATGTTTTCCATGTTAGCATCAGTAGGTGTTTTGTGTGTCTCTTTATAAATGTGTGCATGTGTATGGGTGTATGTGAAAATGGGAATAGTTTAGGATTGTGAGAGGTTTGCGAGGAGAAAGTGTAACAAAGACAGGAAAGATTTTGCTAATTCTCAGCACTCTCTTTCAGTCTGTGATAATGTACACTTAGTGTACATTTGATCATGTATTTGCCGTCGAATAATTGCAATGAAATATGCATTTTGTTCTCTTGTGGTTTCTCTGTTCTCTGACGTCCTTCAAAGTCATCAAGTGACTTGATGACTGCCTGTTGTTTCAGTGTGCTTGGTTGTTGTGTGTTCGCTCTTATGTGCTAACCGCGTCTTGTGTTTGTGTGGTGTTGTCTGTCCCCCTAAGCTGTTGTGTATGCACGTTGTCACAGCATTTGCAGCCAGTACCAGACATCTGCTGCCTCTGAACAACACCTATCTCACATTCACTTTTTTCTCCACTTTCTCTGTTGTCTTTGTGATTCTAATGACTAGAATTTCTATTTTAAATCTATTAAGTGAGTTTTGATTGATAAATGAAACAATCTGAAAAATCACATGAGGTCACATTAAACATTTATAAAATCCTTTGCCTTCACATGTAGCCCTTATAAATATAATTGTACTAACATAGTTACTTTCTTTACCAGAGCTCTAGTTCACACAGGATTTGCTCCGTGACCTACTACCCTGCATCTTCTCTTCTTCCCTAACTCTGTGTCAAAAGCTGTTCTGTCCTCCTGTCAATTTATCTCTCTGTCTGTCTACCTGTGTCTATGTCTCTGTGTGTGTCTGTCTGGCCTTCTGTCTGCCTGTGTGTGTGTGTCTGGATGTCTACCTTGTCTGTCTTTCCCCCTTTGTAGCTTGGGCTTCTGTGGCATTCCACGAGATGAACGCTCTTTTCCCACCCCGGTTTTAGATGTGGTGTTTCGACTGGATGATGGCTGCCTCCCGGCCCACAAGCCCCTGCTCATCTCCAGCTGCGACTGGATGGCGGCCATGTTCCGTGGCTCTTTCATGGAAAGTTACATTGAGGAGGTGAGTTCAGACATACCGTAAAGGGCCTGAGGATGGAGTTACCTTTAAGTTTTGAGAAGGGATTGAGTTCCTGCATCCTAAATACTGGGAAATTCACGACAGAAAACTCAGGGCAACATGATCACACACACACACTTGTATTCAGCATGTAACAGCAGCACCTGATAAAAGATGGAAAAAAATGGGATAAAGGTATATGAGCTACTTGGATAAGGGTTATTACCATAGACATTCCTTCAGTGATAATGCGCAGAAACTTACACTGTGTGCTCTAGTATGTGAATGTTAGTCCTTTTATCAGATTGACCTACAAACCTTTGTTTCACTTGCTGATGTGGCTGACGCTCTGCAGGTACCAAACCGCCGCCTTGCACACATACGAGCACGTACAGAACGCAATTGTGTACGAATTCACTTACACAGTGCATGCAACCACACACATTCACCTCCTGAAGACTTACTGAAACTATAACCAGACCACCAAGTCTGAAAACTGCAGTGCAGAACTTTTGGATGCATCTTCTGGCAGTGAAAGTAATTACTCAAACCTGACTTTTTGCTCCTTGTTACTGTTGTCACGACCTGATATGCAGCCCCAGCTATACTCAGTTCCGTCTCCACCACTGTGATCACTGTGTGTGGCAAACCAGTCATTGCTAGTTAGTGTAAAACACTCCTGCTGGTGCGCCAACGTGGAAATGTTGCCTCAGAAACCAGATTTGAAGCTCTGGTGTGCAGTGAAATACAGGGAGATTTACCTGGCACTCATTGGCTTTGTCAACATTGTGCAAACTCATTTGACAAAGGCCTAGAAGTCACACAGGGTCACATAAAGATATTTGTACAAACACACACACAACTCAGAGTATGGCGATTTCAGTTCTCTGTATGTTGTACATATGGCAAAACTGACAATAAAGCTAACTTGACTTGACACTCACATTCACACTTCCTGACTTTGACTTCCTGTTGCTTGAGGTCATGCGGCTTGCAGTGCCAGGTCATGATGCAAACCACAGAGTGTTGGTTTTATGTCAAACGACACATTGTTCCTCATTTCGAATTGGTGGTTTGCTACCATATCAGCCTTTGAGATATTTCTTTTTGCATTAAAGTATTACATTTTTTGGTTTATTAAAGACAGCCTCTTGTTCAAACATAGCCAGATTTGTGAGAGGTCTCAAGTCTGTGACAGCAGAGAGAGGATGTTGTACTAACCCATCTCAATAGTTTAAGGAAGTCCAGAAGAGTCCCTTTTCGAGGTCAGCATTTCCCGAGCGACGGGTTTGGTTACTTCAGATGAGCGCTAACCTAAGGCTCAGCTTCTGCTGGCTCAGTAGTCTACTGGGTGCAGAGCATGTGCTCTTGACCTGACCTAACCAGAGAGGAAGTTAAAGTCTGTCTTTAAGATGATGCTCCTGACTATGTTGCAGAACTAGATCCCATAGGGTATGGTTACGATCAAGGTCGGCAGGTTTAGGTTACTAATTCCCTCAGAAGGACAGAGAGTAATCCTTAGAATACAACAGAGAGACAGACGACGGAAAACATGTTGTACGTTCAGTTTAGGTATAAAGCTCAGAGTTATGGTGGGAATATTAGAAAAAACATGTACAACTGTTAAAGAAAAACACTGTTCTTGTGTTTCCATGTGGATAGCCTGTGTTTTATTTGAGAACACACCACATGAGTGAGTGTGCAAAAAGCCATTGCAGCTGATAGTAAAAGCAGGACATCAGCATTAACTGAGGGGTGTCTGTTGTCTGTTGGTGTCTATGGTTACTCTAAACAGTTTATGTGGTGACTATCATGAGATTGTTTATAGGACGAATCTTGCAGAACACAGAAAGCAGGTGTCTGGAGACAAAGACTGAAACCCTGACCACACCAATAAACCGTCACCAACAGTGTTTATTTTCATATAAATGTATTTGCATTTGTATGTTACAGGAAAGCGTTTTACTGCTAATTTGCGAACACGATATCTCAGCAGCAAGCTGCAGCTACCAGGTTGTTTGCTTATATGCTTTCCTAAGCCAGACAAAAAAGAATACCATAAAGTGTTTCTAATGTACAGAGTGTATTTTCAGATTGACTGATTATATCTTTATGGATAAATGCTACTTCAGTGTCATTAGAGGAGAGTAAAAATGCCCGCTAAAACACCAAACCACACTAAAACACTGATCTTTAAATAGAAGCAGGACTTTCAGAGCATGACGCACTAACAAAATTGCTCAAACTGGACACAGCAGATGGTCTCATTCTAGTAAGTTTCACTAAGAGAATCAATACGAAGGAGACAAAAGAGATGTTGATTGTGGAGATTTGCAAAAAAAAAGAAAATGTAATGATGACAAGATAGAATTCGGTAAATCAGGGAATAATTAGATTTTTTTTCCAGGGGGATATACACTGCACAATCGATACTTGTTTTAATTTCATAACAAAATACTTCTGAATGTTAACCAATCAACTGCCCACCTCTCCCTACTTTTACTCATTCTCACATTTTATTCAGGAGAATATTTGTAGACTTGTGCTTTTTTCATATATCATACTGCAACTGTTCTGTTGAATTTTCAAGGGAGGTTTTAGAGGAACATATTCTTTATCCACTTCATAAAAATTCAAAGAACCTGTAACTATGGAACTGTGAGAGTAGCATCATCAGCCAATGCCGTGTTGTTTTCATGCTCATGCCACCCTTCCCTCTCGCTATTTTTATGCTCACACATTTCAGCGTTCATGCTGTTGTGTGAAAGCGGGGATATTCTAATTTTGTGCAGAACAGAGTTAAGTTGTGTATTAGAAACTGATTTATTATCATTATTATTAGCCGCATTACAGACAAGTCGTACACTAAGCATGTTTTTTTTCTTCGTGACCCATCAGTCGCAGTTAAAGAGGTTCTACCTTTTGTGTAGCAGACAAAAACCATGAGTCAAAAGACACCTCCTGTGGTTTGCTCTCTGTGTGGGCAGTTCTACAAACTGACCGCTGAGTGTGTCATGGTATACTCCCGGATTACTTACTGGTTGTGTGTCTGTGGTTTTTTCCTTCAGCATGTGCATCCGAGTGAAGAGTTACATGCTGAGGAGCCTACTTTATTAAATGTGAAAGCCTGTTAAGCGTTTGTCTTACTTGCTAAAAACAGAGGCCATACTAACATCAATCAGAGGTCTAATCTGCAGATTTTGTTTTTTTCTTGTGCTTGTTTTTCTGCCGATTGCATATAGATTCTAAATCTCAGTTCCCTTGGGTTGAGGTTTTTTAAGCACTTAGGCGACCGATAACTTTTAGTCACCGCGGCTGCCTTTTAAACAGATTGCATCATTGTTTTTCACTCTGAGCCTAAACTTTGTGGGTTTGCAGTTACACTAAGCTTGCGCTAAGCTCATAATTGACCATTAGTGTGTCAGCAAAAGAACACCTGTCAATACAGTTGATGGGTCTTATCCAGAAGTGTCCTGTTCCTATGAATGTGTCCACTCATTAATGCTTCCTGGCCCCAGCTGGGGCTTTAAGCTCCAGAGACCACCCTTGTCTCTGCGTTGTGTCTTTTTTATCATAACGAGAGATCGCGCCAAGCTGACATTCTCCTAATTGGTTATGTGAGTGAAGGTTGAAGAGTGTCCCAGTGGGTAGACTCAGAGAGCTCCTGGAGGGGTCGGGTCATCAGTCCCATAATCATTTTCCTTCCCTCCAATATTTCCGTGGCTTAGAATACATTACCTGCCGTTGGGTCGGTATTGGTCTGATGTACAGTAATGAAACTGCTAAAAAGGTGTTTTTCAGTTGTATATTTATTTATTTAACTACCCAAAGTGAGATGGCAGGCCACACTGAGAAGCAGCATGATCGTTGTCTTTGGTATAACTCAAGTCTAATCAATGGTTTGACAGCATATAGGTCATTACAGGTGAATGTTTTCTGATAAGAGAGGTTGCTTTGGCACTTTAGCTCTGCTATTAAACATTGCCCTTATGTTTCTTGCATTGTTTTCAACTTAATTTTAATCCATGTTTAACTTTGCAAATGTGAAACCCAGTCATCTCCATGTCGTGTCAGATGCACTGTGCAGTCTGTCTCTTTGGGGAGGGCTGATACAGCAGATCTGCATGTAGCAGGGTGGAGGTCTTTTGCATTAGCCACATAGCTCGCATCACTAGCCCTCAGACAGCGCTTTCATCTGAGCTGAGATCAAGGGATTGTAGCTCTGACAGTATGTCCGCTGCCCTTTGCCGCCAAAAATCTGCAGCAATGCCTTCATTGGTTTTACTGTCTTATTGGATCCTACCAATTTGTACCCATTACAGTTCATATGCATAGGAAGTTTCCAACATATTATTTTGTGTCTTTGACCCAAAAGTGCAGCAGAGGATACACATATGCAATGTTTACTGTGATAAAGTCAGTTAACACATTCGCTAAATATGAATACCTACTTGTATGTCCATTCAGTTTCTTCATTGATGCTATTTCTCACGTGTTTTCTGCCCTGGTCTTTTCCTAGGTATCCATTCCTAACACCAGTGCAGCATGTATGCGTGGGGTGCTGGAGTTCCTGTACTGCGGTCTGCTGACACCCTGTCCTGGGTTGGAGCCCATGGAGCTAATTATTCTGGCCAACCGTCTCTGTTTGCCACGCCTTGTCGCCCTCACCGGTAATGACTCTCTCTGCAGTATAGGAAGCGTTGCGGAGAGAAATGTCGTCTCACTTGAATATCTTGTACTGTCTAAATGTGGCAGAACGTGGCTTGTGATATTTTATTGGTGACTCAGCCAAAGATTATAGTACTAGATAGTTTTGTTTGATGCAGACTGACAGACTAATTTATGCCTGGGAGATAAAAATGTGAGCCCATGTCAGTGGTGCATGCAAACAGTAAATACTGACATGATTATCTACATTTTGTGCATCTACAGAACAGCATGCTGTGGATGAGCTTCTCCAGTTGGCAGTGAAAGGAGTTGACATTGATGGACAGGTGTTGGCTTACCTTGAGCTTGCACAGGTCTGTCCTTATCTTTGTCTTTTAAATATAACATTTAAATTTACATAAATGGATGCTTATTTGTAATGATGCGTAGTAGTTTTCACTTGATTAATTTTAAAAATGCTTATCTGTTTTGCAGTTCCACAATGCCAAGCAGCTATCGGCTTGGTGTCTCCATCACATCTGCACTAATTATAACAGCATCTGTCGCAAGTTTCCCAAAGACATGAAGGCCATGTCTCCAGGTACAGACTCCTTCCCTCTCTTGGCCCTGATAATCTGCCTCAGAGCCCTTCCGTATGTGCAGCTTTTCTGTCCGGAAAACTCCTACAGATTTTGCTTTGCAGTGTTAGTGTGAGCAAAAATGTAGGCTACATTTGTGGGTTAAGCACACTACTAAGGAACTGCAGCATGGTGTGACTTGATCCTAGCAAACATTTGGTTGGAGTGGGAGGGCTGATTTTTTATTTTTTTTGTCTGGAAAAGCACTGCTGCAAGGGAGCTAAAAATAAAAAATAATAAGAGGAACAGGAGCACCTTATGGGCTGTTTCTGAAAAAGAAACTGACTGAACATGCCTTGCGTTAGTATAATAACATTAACATATTTACACATAAATGCTCGTACTCATTTTTGAAAATACATTATAAGATTTACAAAAAAAAAACAACAACTTGGAAACCAAAACCTTGGCTGGAAACTGTTTTATGAGTGAAACAATCTGTCTGTTTGTCCTCCTCTTTGTAGAAAACCAGAGGCACTTTGAGAAGCAGCGCTGGCCTCCTGTGTGGTTCCTCAAGGAAGAGGACCGCTATCTGCGCTCTCAGAAGGAGCGTGAACGTGAGGAGGAGATCTTGCGCAAGCAGCACACCAAGCGTGGCTGGTGTTTCTGGAGGCACCCGTCCTCCTCTCCACACGTGTCCTAAAGGGTTCCCTCCACTGACTTCTTCATGCTTACCTGGGTCATCCCGTCCAAGAAAGCTAACTCCCCCCTCTTAATGCATTTAAAGGAGGATGGCTCTGAAACTCTTATCAGCGGAGAAGTGGCCCTCATTGCTAATATGCCTGAATGTCAGCACGTTTGGGGGAATGTATGTGCCTCTTTATAAGTGTGGGTGACCACATGAGTGCATTTTGGTATGCTGTGTGACAAGTGTGGACTCAAGTGAAGGGTATGTGCATGGGTATGTCAGTATATGTGTGCAGTATTGTGACTGAGTGATGCTTCCAAGTTGAGTGCTTCCCAAATGCCCTGATCTATAAGGGCCCGTGGTGTTGCAGTGCAGCCCGTTGTTCCCTCCACCAGAGCTCTGTCCCTCCACCAGCACTCAGTGTCTCAGCCTTTGAGTGATTGGACTGGGAGCAAGGGCTTTCTATCTCTCTCAGTCTCTCATTCTCCATCCTTCACATTGACCTTAATGACTATTACACATTGACCACTGCGGCTTCCCTTGGGGGAGCTTACCTCTGCCTTCACGTCTATACAGACTGTTAGCTTGCACAAACCCATTCCCATGACCCACCCCTCTAAAACCAGCACTGGATTCCCAGGAATAGACACTGATAATGTAATTATTATTTCCATTATTTTGTTTAAGTTTTTTTTTTTTTTGTTTAAATATGTTTTTGCTCCTATTAGGACACTATTATCAGGGGAAATGGCACCCATTACTCCAAGGAAGCTGATGATTTCTCTGATGATAGTCAATCTAAAGTCCAGGCTTGGGTGTAAAGGTAAACATATACCAATTAGCAAATTAAGATGCACACTTTAGGAGGTTTAAACATAGCTTTTAGCCTCGGGTATAGTCCTGATTTGATCCACAGTGTCCATCATCCACCCCTGCACCTCCCACTTCCTCCTTTTGTTCACCACACTTGCAAAAAAGTAAAACACAAGCTCTCCTTGATGTGTTGGTTTCACCAAACTGCATTTCAGAGACCCTCCAATGACCACTCTATAGCAATGATGGGGGTAAAGAGGGCTAGCCTTACTTGATACCTCTGCCACGGAGGACTAATGGATACAGTGTTAAACAAATGTGCTTGTAACGTCCATGACCACTAGGCTGCTTTGAAGCACCTCAGCCAGCCTGCCTTTACACCCCTACACCACTGGGGGCAGCACCGCTCAGGGCCCCGGCACTAACCTTCACACTAACAGGAGTTTTTATGCCGATGTTTTCTTCACTCTAGTTTCCGTTAATAGGATCATCAGTGTAACGTCAACCCTTGCAAAGCTAAAGCACATGCACCATGTTAGTCGTGCATTTTAACTCTACCTAACAATTTTGTTTTTACCTGATTCTGAATACCAAAGCTGTGATTCTTCTTCCTCACTTTCTTCATTTCTGCTTCCTTGCTTTTTTATGGGCAAGAGGGGATGGAGGAGGAAAGAGAAAGTGACTTGTAGGAGAAGGAGGCAGTGTGAAATAGTAATTGAATCATTCTTTGGGGTGGTGTTTTGAATCTGTAGTGTCAAGAAAAAAAAAAAAAGAGTGTCACCGCTGGACATTGCCTTCCATTCCGGTTGCTGGAATTGAAAATGGTGCTTAAGACACAATAAGACAGTGTCCACATGAACACACAGACACACATTTTATGTTTAGAGTTCAAGCATCTATGTAGTTGTTTAGTGGTTACCTGCAAAGAACCTGCAGAGGTTTATTATGGTGTTCAGATTTGACATAGGAGCATTTTTAAACCTTAATTTTTCGTCTCCATTTACTAACAGTCTATGAGAGGTCATAATAGGTCACTGATTTTAGAATGTGTAGTTTTCTGATTTTACACACAGCGGTTACAACCCTGTGACGTCTTTGCTGCTTTTATATTCTTAAAACAATGTGATCTGTTTTTGCTTCCTTGTTAGCCAGGAAATTAACATTACTTTAGAGTGCATTTGAGATGAGTGTTTTCGCAAATTCAAACTGCAAATGAGAGCAAATCTGATTTTCTTGTTAAGGGTGCTAATTTCTTTGGGCTTTCGTACTGAATGTGAAAAAAAAAAGATGTTGTGGTGATGAGTTTCTATTAGCACGTCGTTCTATTTGTGGGTTTGCGCCCCTCAGCTTTACCCAGGCAACTCTAGGAGATAGATTGTGTGAGACATGTGGTGTGTTCTGCTGTTTTCTGTGGAAGGTGTGTAAAGTCATCGTCAGCTACCGAAATAGAAGTCAGAAAGGATCTCACGAGACTGAAGTGAGAATTGAGCTGATTTGTCTCTAAATAGAGTAAAAGTGGAGTAAAAGTGAACAAGTCTCAGTCAGGGTTACATGCATCCTACATATTTAGGAATGATTTCATAGATGTTTAAAGTGAACCCAATAAGGTGCTTTGGGTTTATAGAAAAGAGACCTAAATAGGAGAAAAGTCTCATTTTTTTTGATGGACTTCCATAGCCTCTCTTTAGCTCCCCGTAGAATCAATTTGTCTTAATGGCATTAATGGTTAGTATGATCCATTAAGCCTCTTCTCTCAGTCCATGTGCCTTATAGTTGGACAAAACTAAAAACTAATGTGAGATTTTAGCATAATCTTAGTTCAAACCTGCAGACAGGTTCTGCAGTCACGCATGTGATGGATACATTAGACAATGGCCACGATCGTGTTATTACTGTAAAATGGATTGTGGTGTTGCTTTATGCACGCTCAGCCATTGTCCTTCTTGAGGGAATTTTCAAGCCAACCTTTTACAGAGTCTAGTACAGTAGGTTGGTCCAATCATATGGCCTTAGATTAGGATGTTTTCTCTGGATTGAGACTCACATCATGGTTGGGATACTCCACCTACCTGGTGATTGAGAGGTAGTGTTGAATAATTGCAGGTTGATTCCTGCAGTGAAACTTCAAAACCACTGACTTTGAGAAAGCAAAGCTTTTTAATAAGCACTGGCTGGCCTGTGTGCTGGGAGGGTGCAACCACTTTTTAATTGTGGTTAATTTGCATGGTGGCCTAACTTTGTCATTTTAATGACATTTGTGTTGGAATGCACTTTCTTCTTTTTTTGTCTATGACTATACCTTTCTGTACTTAGCATGAATTGATCCTTATGTAAGATTGTTTCATAATCTGATGATTGTAGCACGACATTTCCACTTAAGTCTTTCAAATTTTCCCACAACTTACTCAGTGCTTTTTGTTGTTGGCACTGAACTACACAGTAGCTCTCTTCTTGCTTTGGGACTTTATGCACAAGTCTGTTGCTCTAAATTAGCTCAGCACAGCTTAACGTAGCATCACTAAACATACAACTTTAAGTAATATGCTGGGACATCTACAGACATTTGCCTGAAAAGCTAATGCAGAGGATCTGTTGCTGCTGTGCAGTGTTAACCTGTTACTGTAGTTTATACAATCAATCAAGCTTCTTCTTTTTTATTTTTAAGATATTGGGTTCAGGGTATAAAACTAAAAAAGCTAGATTTCAGTAAAAATTAAGGATTGTAATACACATTTTAAGAATGTTCAAAATGGCTGAAAGCCAAGTGAAATGTTTGGATTTAGCTTGCATGTAATGACAAAGGAATTGCATAAAGCATGATGCATGTTCCTGGAGTTGAACATAAGCTACTGTATATACAGCAGAGTTTCTTAACCTTTGGTATTGAGATCCTGTTTGGGGTCACTTGATATGTCAATGGGGTTGTGGGATTTACAAAAAAAAAAACAAAAAAAAGAGGATGAAAAAAAATAATCACACAAAATAAACATTAATTGGGGTGAGGACTGTGGGAAGTAGAAACTGAAGGGCCAGAAAAGGTTGAGAAACCCTGATTCACAGAGAGGGGGAAACAGACATTCAACATTTTCAGCCTTGTTGGTTGTATTTTGCCCTCAATATTTGCTTCACAATGACCCCTACAGGCCAAAGTTGAATTTCATCACATTCTGAGTTGTGAAATGTATTATGATCGTCTTGTTTTATCTTATACATTGTTTTTACTTTCACATTATATTAGATGGAGTAGATCTTCCTTCTTTGCAGGCTTGATGTCTCCAGTTTAATGTGGGGCCTAGTGACTGAGAGAACACCTTGTTTTTAGTATTTGGTGTCTCCTCTCCTGTGCCTTCAGTGAAATCTAACTCTTTTGGCTCTGTACAGGCTGATGGCACTTAACCTGCAGCCTACTGGGCTCAAATTCAAGTCAGTTAAGCCAAGAAATACACAAGTGTGCGCACAGACGTAGAAGTAGGTAGCTGTCATTAATATACAGTATCGTAGAGCTTATGTGGATTTGCTTGTGCTTCTTTAGGCATAAAGCAGTTACTGCCTGTTGGGGTCATATTGACAACTTCCAGTGAAAACATAACTGTGGAGCTTCACAAATTCAGTATGGAATATCATCTATGCTAACGCTGATGACTTAAATTATGAAATGACCAAGAAACCCAGCAAACCAGCAATTTAAGAATAATGTTTCTGCACTCTTTTAGGTGCCTGCACTTTCTATTATGTAGCTTATTACTACTTTTTTGATGCTGTCTTTATATTGACCAGTTTTCCTGATTTGAAATTAGAATATCATTAAATTTCCACTTTCAGTACTGTACTCTACCACTTCCATTAGTCACTATGTTGCAGTCATACATGCAGTCAGCGTCCTTTTAGTTTGGGAACAGCATCTGTGAACTACTGGTTGGATTAAAGGCAGATATTAGCTGTGACATATTACGCTTTAATGAAGATAGTTATTATCCAAAGTACAGTACAGTGTTGTAAATTGAAACAAGACCCAGTTGGAAATAACCTCTCACCTTCTTATTACTCACCACACTGTATGTATGTACGAAGTTGGTGTATACATAGGATTGTGTGCACAGAGAGGTGTTTATATAGACAAACATGGTGTGATTAACCCCTGGTCTATACTGTAACTTTTAAGTGGATCGTATATACTGTATAGTATTGTTATGCACTTTTGTTTCCATTGACTCATGAATTTTATTAACATTTACTGCTTATGTTATTGTGTTTATTACAATAAAAAGGCAAAAGACAGAGCACACCACACTCACAAACTATTAAGGGCTTTCAAAAAGATATACAACAATCAGAATGTTTTGCTGCTGTTGCAAAAAATGTTTTGAAACTAAAATTTTGTAATATTTTTGAACCACTGTGATTTGTACAAAATTTCAAAAAGAAATGTAGAAAAAAGTTTTTTTTTTCTTTTTGCCATTTCAGTATTTTGATGTTTGACATGAATTTTATTAAAACTGTTAATCTTTTGAACTTGTCTGAGCTGTTCATTGTCGCAATGTTTTTCCATTTTCAAGATTCAATGTAGATTTCTCAAATAGAAAAGAGGATGCTGCAGCCGTCTTGTATTTAGTTTGGAAAAATAAGAATTATCATATTGTCACTATTGTCATGTTTTCATAAAATGTAGTATTGGTAAATGCTTGGACATATAGTCCAATCCATAGGTTTTTTGATAGTGACAGAATTTTCACCACCACAGTGCAAGTTTGAGTTTAAGTTTTGTGTTTAACAAAAGTATTTCAAAATAATTTATGAATTACAGACACATAGTAACACAGTCAAACACAGTCAGTCCATTATCACAGGCTAAAAAGTCATAGCACAAATCATGAATATAAAGATTATTTTTATTACTTGAAAGCAAATTCTTTGCAATCAATGACTGCCTCAAGTGTGGAACCCATCAACTGAGTCTCCTCTGTTCAGATGCTTTTTCAGACCTTAACTGCAGCCACCTGCATTGCTTCCTGTTTGTAGGTCTTTCTGGCTTCAGTTTAGTCTTTATTAAGTGAAAACCATTTCTTGTTGGGTTGCAGTCAGTGAGTGACTCAGCAATTTAAGAACATTTTGCTGCTCTATGAATCACTTGGGTTTCTTAAATTGTGCTTCCGACAGGACACTTTGTTAGATTTAATCATATATTTTGGAATGACATGCATTTGTGTTTGGCTGCGATTCTGCTTGAGTGATGCTCTGGAACAATCTGAGCAAACATGACACAGACAGTCCCTGAGATCACAAATCCCCAAACCTGTGCTTCAGAGGGGAGAAGATGAGCAGAGTCACCTTGAAATGAAATTGACTTCAATGAAATTAGCCTTTGTGTAGCGACAAGTGTGTTGCGTTTCCTTTGAATTCATGCAAGTAGCATGACCTTTTCATCTGAATGCATAGAATCAGCAGCATGCTGAATGCAATGAAGATACAGATACAAAGAAAATCTACTGTGTGAGATATGAGACTATGTAAAAGGTCGACAATGATTGCATTTCCTTTGATTTTGTGCAAGCATGCACAACCTTCACATCTGGATGCTGGAGGGGACGACATTGTTCCGGGCGGACAGATAGATGGCTAGCTCTGGGCAGCATCTGTGGCTTCACCATGTGTCTTTGTGTCCCTGAAGATCCTACAGGACCTGAAGAGGTTCACCATGTTCAACATGATGGTGGCGCACATGGACGCAGTGTCCCCTTCAGGAGACAGCGGGAGTGAACGTTTAGTGTCTTGCCTATCCCAGACGTTCATTCTGCATAACTTACTAATTAAATGATCCTGAAGAAAAGCTCTCTCATCTTGCCTGTCAAGCATGTCACCAGACATTTAAAAAAAAAAGTTTCATCTATAAGATTGAAAAGCTACCTAAACAGTCATTGAAATATCCTATGATCGCCTTGAATCATGATCTTGAGAATAACTGATCTTCCAACACAACCATCAAGACTTTTCCTCCCAAGCCTGACTCAGATGAGCTGAACATAATTTAACTAGATTGATTTAATTACAGGGCTGCAAGGTGGCGCAGTTGGTAGCACTGTTGCCTCGCAGCAAGAAGGTTGCCGGTTCACGTCCCGGTGGGGGCACCGGAATCTTCCTGCCTGGAGTTTGCATGTTCTCCCCGTGCAG